CTCGTTTTCCAGATTTCGAGTTCTGATATGTATATATATACATGGTTGTATATATCCCAGTTTTAGTATTTCCGAGGGCGGAAATAGTTTTAAGGAGGGTAAATTGTAATATTCCTCTCAGTTATTTAGAAAGTAACAGTTTTAGTTCCAAGATTTAGGTAATTTCGAGGCCAAGATATGCAGTTATCGGTTCGAAATTAAGAGTTGATCAAGGAACTAGCCACACGAGTCGTGTGAAGACACACGAGTCGTGTGAGAAGGCACATGAGTCGTGTGGGAGGAGATAAGAATGAAAGTTAGCTTCGGCTTTTTCACACGAGTCGTGTGACAAGCCACACAAGTCGTGTGGAGCCACACGAGTCGTGTGACATAACCACACGAGTCGTGTGACTGACAGTAAGGTTTGGTCATTGAGAATCCGATTGTGATCTCAACCAGAGGCCATTTTTGATGATTAATTATGTTTTTGATGAGTATATAAGTTAATCATAAAATAGTTTATGATTAATTAAGTTTATAAGTTTAAATTGTTTATTATGTTCATTTCTTCACTCCATTATGATGTCTTGCCAATTTATGCCTATAAATAGAGGCCTAAAATACAGAGTTTTTACACCAAAGTTAAGTACCAAAAGTGATATAAGAGTGTAAGAGTGATAAGTAGTAGAAACTTTGGAGAAGTGAAGAATTTGAAGTAAAGAATCAAGTTTTTACTCTAGCAAGAAGGAGGTAATTTACTTATCTTAAAGTTACATGCTTAAGTTCATGTTTTGATAATGAGTTTACATGTTTATAAGTATGTATATCATGATGTAGAAGTTGAGTTTATAATTGATTCTATGAATACAAAGAGTTAAAGTTGTTCAAGATCAATTACATGATATATGTGCTTGATTTGATGAGATGTTGATAAAGATATGAATAAGCTGGAAAAGTATGATTTAAATGAATGATTCTTATGTAAAAGAGGAGTACATGAGAACAAGAATTAAGTGATTTGGCAAAGTATAGCTTGAGTTATGACTTTTTTAAGTTGAACATGTAAGATGAAGTTTATGTTCACTATGACTTTAAATTCTAATAACTTGATGTATATGCATGATAAAATTATGAAATTTTTATGACATTTCTAATTATGAGTTGAGATTATGACTGTTAAATTTCATGATTTGAAGATGAGAAATGAATGAGTTATGATAATTACAAGGCATATATATAAAGATGAGTATATATATGCAAGAATATTCATGATATGATCAAGTTGTTAAAGTGAGATTATTATGATCAATTCTCATATAAGTGATGAACAATTTGGCAAAGTTTTAGTTTAATATGTTGAGTATATAATCTTATGAAGATTGTATTAAGTATGACATATTAATATCATGATTAAATGTTATGATTAAAAGTTGAAGTATGAATTGAGTTTATTTTCACTTCAAGTTAATTAAGTGAAAATTTAGTATATGTCAATATCTAAAAATTGGGAGATATGATGTGTGATGAATTAAGTATTTGATTGAGTAAAAGATCAAGTTAAGTTAAGATGAGTTTATGAATCATGGATATGATGTTGGTAAAAGATAAGCATGTTTTGAGTTCATGTATTCAATCAAGTTTAATGTGAAATTTAGTTATTTTCACATTCGAGTTATTTAAGTGACATGCGAGTATAAACCAATATCTATGATTTTGAAGACATGATTTATATAAGGTTAAGTAATTAACCTTGAGTAAAAGTTTAAGAAAAAGTTAAGATGTTTGATGACTTAATATTTATTTGAGACATATTAAGCTTATTAAATATCTTTAATATTCGGATAAGTAAGAGTTAAATTTTATTGAGTATACGAGCATAGTACTTAGTATATTTGTTTATATTTTTATGTAGCTTGCAGATACAGCTACAGAACAACACTTACAGTTTTCAAAAGAAGAAAGGTGGGGACCCTGAATGGGTATCACATTGAGTACGATATTGATGTCATATGGGATGAGGAGACCATCAGTTGTCTTAGAGTATATCCTAATGTTTAAGTTTTTACGCTTGGGATGAGGAGGCATTCAGTTGTCTTAGAGTATATCCTAAGTTCTGATGGAGGCCGCTTGAGTTGCCTTGAGAAATATCCATCAGAGTGTGCACACGTATCCGATCAGATATCGGAAGAGAAGAGAAAAGTTTAAGTTTCAGTACCAGTACATATTTCTGGTTACCGATCAGATATCGGTTTATGATTATTTTTATTCAGTACTCACCCCCATGAGTTTATTTTCAGGTAACAGGTCGAAGAGGAGGTGTGGGTGGAGCAGCGTTGGTGTGGATCGTAGACTTAAAATGGGACAGGCTTTTATATGGATATTTATAACAGTCTGTATAACTAATTACGTTTTCAAGTATTTCCGCTATGCACATTAAGTATTGAACTTGCATTTTTAATAAGTTTCAGATTTCAAGTTTTTACCATTTCGAGAAGTATGAATATGGTACAGTTAAATGTAAGTTTAAAGAAAATCTGTTTTCTTTATGTCTAAAGAAGTATTAGACAAAAGTTTAAAGATAAATAGATTTTCAAGAAGACGAGTTTGAGTAGCATCCCGAGTTAGTCGCAAAAGATTTCGAAAGATTTATAAGTATTTTCGAAGTAAAAGTTGCGAAAAAGTTACTCTGATAAGCGGGGTGTTACAAGCCCGACTGCGAAAACAAACGTCCAAGAGCAAAGCTTGGAAGCAAAGGAAACGTCCAAATGCGAAGCCCGACTCTGAAGAGAAACGTCTAAATGAGAAGGGGCAACACATTTAAAACTTTTAAATTGCAAGCTTATTCTGCTGCTAAACATCTAACTGGAAAGGTTGAGTCCATGTGAAACATCCAAGAGTTAAGCTTTAAAGCATACCAAACGTCCTTTATCAAAGCTTGCCTATGAAAGCAAACGTCCAGAAGTTAAGCTTGGAAGCCAGGTAAACGTCCAACATGGAAGCTCCACTGTGGAAACAAACGTCTAGGAGCTAAGCTTGGAACTCAAGTAAACATCTAATTGAAAAGCTTGAGGCCACGCAAAATGTCCAAGAGTTAAGCATTAAAGCATACCAAATGTTTTTGTAGATGCATAAAAATTGTGGCCAATCAAATGGCGCCACGTGGAAATTAATTTATTATAAATCAAGCCATATTTTCTATTTATATTTTAGGAATTTCCATAAATTTAGTTCCTAAATTAAATAGTTAATTAATTGATATTTTATTATTTTAAATCTTGACCAATCAATTATTGCCAAGTGTCAAATCATATTTCTTGGTAATAAATCACATGTCTTCTAGAAGATCTTGGGGAGATCTAGGTAGATCTAAAAGATCTTATGTGAATCATCATGGACCAATCAAATCGCGTCCTACGATTCTTAAATTTGGTAGGGTTCTCCCTCCTACACCTATAAATAGGGGCTCTCCCTAATGTAACAAAAAACACTTCATAATTCATATTCAAGTTCAAGAGCTCTAGAGAATTCTCTCGACAAGATTCAAGTGTTCTTGAAGATTCAAAGGCGTTTTTGAAGATTCGAAGTAAGATTCAAGAGCGTTCAACCTCAAGACTGGCGTTCAATCCAGAAACAAGCTGCAAAGCCTCCGAATAACGTTAGTAAACTCAAAACCGGCGTGGAAAAGATCCAAGGTCTACTTTGCGACGAAGACCAAGGATTCGTGTTCTTCGTGTTCTTGGGATATTTCGACGGCTTTTTCATTGCTAAAGCTTATAGAATCTTTCTGCAAGTACTCAAATCTCTAAATACTGAACAAGCGAAGCGAAGCGTTTGATCCGAAATCAAGGCGTTGGTCCTCTGAATAATAGAGATTTTAATCTGCTATATTTATTTTGATTCGAGAAATTCATTTGAATAATATTTTTGTGTTTATAAATATAATTCCATGTGTAGATTCTGCAGGTTTTGAATTGGTATAAATTGGAGTTGTGCAGCTTGAGTTGTTGCCATTTTACTAAAGTGCTATCCATTCGAAAAGTAGTTCTCCGGACTGTTTTGTGAACTAAATGTTTATTACTTAACCTCATTGATAATGTCATATTTTGCCAATGGAGTCTTTAGAAAAGTTGTATGAAATTGAGTTAGCTAACTTAAGGTTTTTGAATTTCAGTAATATCATGTTTGTAGCTCCTGTTATGTTGGAATTACTGAAGTGCTGTAAGTTGTTCTTTTCCTTTCCGAACTGCAGCTATGTTTTGTGTTGTTGTTGATTTATCTTTGTGGCGATGTCAGTATTTGCTAAAGTTGTCTTCACAAAAATTGTATCTTTATTTCTTACCTTTCTATGAGTACCAGATTTGTATTTTTATCATGACTGTAGCTCGAGTTATCCTCAAAATACTGCCATCCTGTTTGAATGTTTTTTACTGCACCCTTATGTGAATGTTTGTTGATTTATCATGTGGATAATGATCTCGTCTGATTCTAAGTTGTTCTTGAGAGTTGTATATCTATGTCTTAGGAATCACATGCCACTGGTTTCATGTTATTTCGACTTATGTGCTGCTAGTTGTGATCATTTATAAATTGCTGCACATATCATGTTTTACAAAATCACTTGTTGATTTTCGAAAATGGCACGCACTATCGAAATGCACGATTATATGACCTAAGTGATTTATTTCTTGATCCGTGTAGTACGTTTGATCCTTAGAGTTAAAAGTTAAGCAAGCTAAGATATCCACCAACCAAAAAGACTTAAACATAAAATGTTTTCAAAGTATAATTATGTTTAGGGTCAATGTTAAGAAAATAATACTTTTTACGTAAATTCATTACAAGTTTTTATTTATTAAGGGCATTTCAATATTTCTACAAATTCTTATGGACACTTGTCATTAATGTAAGTCATACCTAAAGTTAGGTATGTACAAACCAAAAAAGAACCTACCTAACCATAGAATCACCCTAGAAAGATTACTCCAACTCCCCGAAACACATCACCCTCTAGCGGCCCATCTATGGCGAGAGCCTACCTCGGCTTCACCACCCCTCTCTCCTCCTCCCTCCGCTACGCTGCTCATTACCCTTTCCCTTTCACTTTCACTTTCACTTTTTCTACGCCCTCCCATTTTCTTAGTTCCATCGCTGCTACCGCAGTGCCTCAATCCTCCTCCCGCAGCTTCCACACCTCACTCGAAGTCATCGGTGGTGCCGTGGACAAATTCCTGCCCGCATTCAAAACCCTTCATCTTCCTTATGTTCCTTACCCCATGGTAGCCTGGAATCGCCACGTGGAGACCATTTTCGCCGCATTTTTCCGGTCACTCCCCGAGGTCAACTTCCGGCGTGAGTGTCTCCGCACTACGGACGACGGTGTCGTCTCTCTCGACTGGGTCTCCGGAGATGACCGCAAATTGCCGTCGGATGCTCCCCTTCTCATTTTGCTTGTCGGTTTGGAATTTTGTTTATAATTTTAAATTTGTTACGGCTAAGGACCAAATTTTAGCAGTTATCATTTACGAAATTTGTTTTGAAATTGGTCTATCTAGCGAAGTAGTAAAATATGTATGTTAATTATGTTAGTCTGGAGGAGAAATGAGTAAGGATTGATGAATATACAAGTAGTTGAGGACTTGATTTTAGTGTTTTTGTTATGGTAGATGAAAATGCATTTTAAGAATAGTTTGTTGCAGCCAGGTCTGAGTGGTGGTAGTGGGGACACGTACGTGAGACATATGTTGTTGCAGGCTAAGGGTAAAGGATGGCGGGTGGTGGTGTTTAATAGCAGAGGTTGTGGGGACAGCCCTGTGACCACAGCTCAGGTACTCTGAGTTTTTCCTCATATCCAAGAATCTGTTTTGAAATTAATTGACTTGATTTCTTGCAGTTCTATTCAGCTTCATTCTTGGGGGATATATCTGAGGTAGTGAATCATGTTGGTGACCGCTACCCAAATGCAAATTTATATGCTATTGGTTGGTCTCTTGGAGCTAATATTCTTGTTCGATACGTGGGTCAGGTAATGCTATCACATCCACCTTCTTCATCCTGTGCGATTACCATCGACCTATACACATGCATAGAATAGGATATTGGTGTGTTCTAGAATTGTTAATAGAATTCAAAAAGTATGATTGAAAGATACAATTGCTATAGAATGATCAAGTAAAGAATTAGTTACTACTTATTGCTCTCATTACTTTGTTCCTTAAGCATCTGCTTCAGAGTTTCTCGGACTTAGTTTGGAAATTGGATGTACAGAAAATATGTAAGATGTTTGAAATCATGACGATGGAGGCTATGTTTTGTAATTGCCATCCCAAAATTTTGATCCTACCTCTTAGTCACAGGATAATTAGGAGCTTAGTGCAACATCTTTTACATGGATTTATGATTTGTTGTGAACTTGCATGAGTATATAACATAATTGACAAATTATAGATACGGTCAATCTGCTTGTATTATGAAGCACTATCTAATAAGGAAAATAAACATGTTTTGTCTGTTATGTTTTGTTAAGAGCACCATCTTTCAGGTTCCCAGTTCATGTAACTTGTTCTTTTGCGCCGAAAGCTGTATACAGTAAACTTTACAAGTATTTTATTTTTTAAAGGTGCGGAAAACCCACACCAAAAGCATCTTTGCCTCATTTTCTGAGATGCTCAGTCATCCATACTTTTTCTTGTAAGGAGTCACTTGTCTTTTATGGTTGAAGTATTGTATATGAAGCAACAAACCTTCGTATCTAATCTACCTGAGCAAATTAACTTTGGCATAATTTTCTGCTACTACTTACAGAGATGATATTTCACTAACCATTTTTAAAGATGGGAAACTGAAGTACATGCTGATTCAGTGGCGGGTTCTAGTATGGCTGAATTGTAGATTACTTATTAGGACTCTATTTATCTGGAGAAAATTTGATACACTTAAAGGACCACACTGAAACAATAAATTATGTAAGTGTTGGTTCGGTTAAGAATGTCGACTCATGTGCAACTCGAAAAACTTAACGAATTTAATACTATTGCAGCGGAATTTATGAATTTATTGATAGGCCCCCAGGAATTGGCGACTCTGAGAAGCTGTAGATTTTCGCTGATGAGTATCATCTGTCTCGTCGGGCTACTCGTCAATCGCCGAGTCGCTGCTGTTTCCGGATCGCGTCGCGATGTCGGGTGTTGCGCCGCGCGGGTCGCCATTGGTGGTTGTGGTCGCCGGTGGAGGTGCATGTTGAGTTTTGTGGTCGCCGGACAACTTACGGGTTTGTGTATATATTTGCCGGGATAGCAAAATATATAACCTTCGGATTTTGTTCAAGACTTGTCGTGGTGGACGATTAGTCGGATTTCATGAACCTCACAAAATCTCGCGTTTCTCTCTCTCTTTTTTTTTTTGCTCAAGACGTGGAGCAACTCACATGATGATATGAGAGGAGACTAAGAACTTGGAGTATTTTTAGGCAATAAGGACCCGAGGTGCTAAATATGAGTTCCGTGTGGGCCTAAATAGGCCAAACCCACTTTTGCTCATACTTGAATTATATTAAACGCAACTATCATAATATTACTGAACTCCCCATTTAACGCCTGAATTATAAATAATTGGTTCCCTACTAATTGCCCAAATTATCTCCCCATGTTTACGATCTAACGTCCGTTAATTAATTTAATTACTGACAATATAATTAATCTAACTTCTCTATCCAAAACTAGTACCACTGAGTTCTTTATTATTATGTCGGAAACTAATATACCTGCAGGTCTTAACATAATAATCATTCCTGAGCTCGTTTCGGGAACATCATCAACCCGGCGGACCGAAAAACTGTTAATGTAAATAATCTCTACAACAAATCATATAATCAGTCATTACTTATCAAATAGCGAGTATGTCGACTTAATAGAATAAATCTCACCTTTGGTAAATCAAATAAGCAAGTATTGAATAACATGTCTCTTTATATTGTAAAGAGAATGAATAATGGTTGGAGTCTAGATTATTTACTTGGTAAGTCTTATCCTCAGTAGGTCAGTCAGTAGGTCAGTCTATACATATCGCATCTGATATGTACTAGTGTAATTCATCAGCCAAAAACCAACTGATTCAAAATCACACTAGGACCTTTCACGACGATAGTTAGTTCAATTCAGTGTGAGTTGTGAACAATTACTTTATATTTTACTAGGCATCGATAATATGATATTTCTGTTCGACACATCGAACCATATTATCTACAATGTAAAATAAAAGAACTATGCTTGTATAAATAAATAAATTGCAAACATAAGACTTGACTAAAACACGATTCTTATTCAAAATGGTATAAAGTCGAGCTTCTACAGTATACCCTAACAGTAACAGTAAGTTATTATGGATCTTTGGTTTGACAAAGTGACTGACTGGTATTGGAGATTGTTGTCTGCACTTATACTTAATTTTACCCTTCCACTGCAAGGTTTTCGGATTTTTCTCTCACCAGGCAATGAATGTTGGTCCTCATTATACTTCAAATTGCCACGATAAAATTTCTCAGTTTGTTTCTCAGATTTTATATTTTTACTTGGGGAGATGTTCTGCTCTTAAACCACATTCCATCTCTGAGAGAGCTCGTGTTCCAGGAAAGAAAAGAAAACAAAATGTATTTATGGTCTTATATGTTCGATTGGCTTTGAATATGTACTTCATCACATTTCGATAGTCTATTGTAGTCCTTTTTGTTGGTGTATTTAATTGGCTTTTCCACGTTGTACCCATTCGATGATGCATAACCCACGAACTAGTCAACGTTGGAGTTATGGATAAGAGTATAATGGGACCATTGAATATGTTTTTTATTTTACAATGTACATTAGATATTTTTCTTCATCTGTATCAAAATGAGAAATGAAACCATCTTTTTTGGACTGAGGGAGTATTATTTTATGTCCAACATGTAGAGTAGGTCATCTGAGTTCAGTTGTTAACGGGTTAAGTAGTTTTTCTGTATCTTCCTAACAGTTCAGTGTGAGACTCTGGGGCCACTTTATCTTTACTGTTACTTTTCCAAATTTACTGCCCATTCTTATTCATACTCTATTGTGCCAGGAATCTTTCACTTGCCCTCTTGCTGGTGCCATATCTTTATGCAATCCATTTAATTTGGTAATTGCAGATGAAGATTTTCGTCAAGGCTTTAACATTGTTTATGACAAAGCTCTGGCTAATGCTCTTTGCAAAATCTTCAGGAGGTACACCTTTTTATTTTTATTTATTTATTTTATTTTTATAAATAAATAATGTAGTCCGATCTTTTGATGTACATTACGGATGAAATGATTTTGTGCTACAGAATGACTCCTATAAATAATTATCGTAATACCTATGTGTATGGCCATGAATAAAGTTTGACAAATACATAAATGCAGAACAATTCCCATACTCATTTGTATTACTGGTTTATCCTGATGCATTAGTATTAGTGCATTAATCATAATTTTGCTATTCTGGTTTTCTTGTTTTGAACACTCGTAGAAATTAAATTATTTGTGTGTACAACTTGAACAATGATACTTGCACCTTTTGCAGCATGATAGTTGATCTATTTAAAGTAGAATAAGTTTGAGGTCGGCTCGTTTTGTGGAAGTTGAGACTTGAGAAAATTATTATGATACTAATTGGATTAAAACTTTGCAATATTGTGTAATGATTGAGGTTAATTTTTGGATTAATGGATTTTTGTATTGAGAAAAGCGAAATGTCGTGCCCCCTTCTGGTCTTCTTCAAATGTTTATACTTATGTCTTTATATGTGTTACAATTATATAGTTTAATTAAGTATGTGATATAAACAAAGTAAATTATATTCAAACAAATCAAGAATATACGATTTGTTATGTTAGAGATGGATTTTATATTTCAATTAATTCAATAATTGGGCTTTTGGGGCCCATTTGCATAGGTATATCTCCTGATTCAATTAATGTTTTTTCTTGAAAATTACATATTATTCAACAATAACAACAACAACATACCCAGTATATTCCCAACAGGTTGGGGTCTGTGGTTCAGTTGTACGCAGACCTTACCCTTGTAATTATACAAGGAGGCTGTTTTCGTAGCGACCCAAGGTGCATTCCGCCGTTTGATATTTTTTTTTTCTAGAAACTTCACTAATAGAAGAAGCACTAGAATTTAATTGAGTCATTTTGATCTAGTCCATTATTAGCACTATGCCAGGAGAATTGTCTATAATGACTCTTCCAGCTCCTTTTGCAATGGACAAAATGGCATAGGAAATTGTAATGAGATGTTATTAATTTTCTGGGTCGATAATGGTATAGGAAATTGTAATGATATGTTAAATTTAATTACTCCGTACCTTAGATCTCCTTCTATTTCCCCTAGCATTCTTGATTCTTTATGCATGATTCTATTATCTTCAACATTAACGGGTGTCTTTATTCCTTCTCTAAATGTAGATCGTAATACTATTTGTACTTTATTTATGTGTATATAACTTATCCTTTCTTCTTCCTTTATTTTTTCTAATCTCTTTTCTATTTGTTTTATTTCAACCAAGGGTGCTTGAAAATTATGATTGGCTTGTTCTATTCTAATTGGCTGTTCTCCATTTATTATTCCATAATGTATTGTATTTTTTCTATTTCGTTTGTCTAGTATACCATTATTTATTCTTTCTTTCTTTTCTAAATCTAAATTTCCTTTATTTTTTATTTTTGGTACTACCTTCTTATCTAATAATATATCTGATAAGTAAACTCCTTGGTCTTCTATGTTTTCTATAACATGATATTTGTTTTCCATATTTTATCTTTGATTATCTTATTTTATAAAAGACTTAAGCACTTACAATAGATGCTTGTTTTCGTGCTTTTTTATGAACTTTTTAATCATGATAATATCTTCATTACATATCTCGATACGAATACAACAACAACAACATAGCCTTTTAGTCCTAAGCAAGTTGGGGTAGGCTAGAGATGAAACCCAAGAGAACAAATGGTAAGAGAAACACTAAAAGGGCTCAAAATACAAGGAAGAGATTAGAGCAAAAGAGAGAGGAGCAAAAGTCACGGTTCTGGCACGTTGATTGCTAGCCTCCAAGCGCTCCTCTCCACCACCAAATCCTTGGAGATATTTCAATCTTTAAGGTCTCTCTTAACCGACTCTTCCCAAGTGAGTTTAGGCCGACCTCTACCTCTCTTTACATCATCGACCCGCTGTAAAACTCCCATACGCACCGGTGCATCAGAAGGCCTCCGTTGGACATGTCCGAACCACCTCAGCCGATGTTGAACCAATTTCTCCTCAATTGGAGCCACCCCGACCCTATCTCGAATATCCTCATTCCGGATTCTATCCCTTCTTGTGTGCCCGCAAAACTAACGCAACATACGCATCTCTTCTACACTTAATTGTTGGACATGTTGCCTTTTTGTAGGCCAACATTCAGCACCGTATAGCATCGCCTGGCGAATTGCGGTCCTATAGAACTTACCTTTCCTTTGTGACACCCTCTTATCACATAGAACGCCCGAAACTTGACGCCATTTCAACCAACCGGTTACCATTCTATGCCTAACATCTTCATCAATGCCGCCATCCTTTTGTAGCATCGATCCTAAATACTGGAAAGTCTCCTTCTTGGCCATCACTTGGCTGTCAAGGCTAACGTCACCATCATCATGTGTAGCCATGTTGAAAGCACACGTCATGTACTCGGTCTTCGACCTACTAAGTCTGAAGCCTTTCGACTCTAATGTGTCCTTCCACAGCTCTAACTTTGTCACTTTGACGTACGTGGAAATCATGTATGCACAGACTTTCCGAAATCACATAAATGAAGCTCAATTGCATCGTACTTTTGTCCTATTTACCGCTGCCCTACTCTCGTCAACTAGCATCACGTCATCAGCAAAGAGCATACACCAAGGGATACCACCTTGTATGTCCCTTGTGGCCTCATCCATTACCAAGGAAAATAAATAAGGGCTCAACTAGATTTTCATTGGCTATGTTTGGTAAAACTAGCTGATAAGCTAGCTGATAGTTGATAAGCTAGCTTATAGCTTATCAATAATTTTTTAGCTTATAGCTTATCAATAATTTTTTAGCTTATAGCTTATAGCTTATGACTTATAGCTGAAAAGCTAGCTTATATGATAAAAGTGTTTGGTAAAATTAGCTGATAAGCTAACTGAAATAATAAATTCAACTAGCTTATTTGAAAAGCTATCTAAAGAAGTTTATCAAATAAGCTTGAGTTTTTTAATAAAGTTCGTCCTACCAAACGAGGCTTATTTGAATACAGGATGCTTATAAACTCACCAAATAAGCTATAAGCTAGCTTATTTGACTTACCAAACACAGCCATTATTGATCGATGATTTTCAGGTGTAGAATTATAAATCTTAACTAGATTATCTAACTTTTGTTCATCTTGTTTTAACAATTTTTTATATAAAACAATTTGTTTTCTTAATGATTTAATGCAATTTATATCTTTACATACTTCTCTTAATGGCATATGCAAAAAATGATTACTATCCATGAGAGACTAAGAAATAAATACCAAGTTTTAACAAGTTCGATATAAGAGTACTCGATTAAAAGAGTTACCTGATTCTGCCTGCTCTCAACACAATTCTGGACTTATATGGCCTTGACGCATACCAGCTTCGGCCTTTCACAAAACTTTCAGTGCTCCAGAGAGACTATTGCTCGATCAATTAACACTTTTAATCTTTCTTATATCTTCTAATTATTTAGAAACTCATTATATATGAAAGCGTAACATCTTATGAAAGAGAAAGAGTGTTTTTCGGAAGTATTTTTATTTTGAATTGTTGTGTCCTCAAATGAAATTTGAGACACTTATTTATAGGCGAGAGATTCAACTCTGCCTCTTTACATATGGCCTTACATGACCGACATCTTGCCTCCAAAGTCCTTAGTGGAGTGGGTGTGAAGATAAGGTGGGTGGTAACTTACTATCCCATTACATAGTACATGTGTACAGAAGGACTTTTTCTTTCATTGCCTAACCACCTATTACATAGTGCATGACTTTTTCTTACATAGTGCAGGACCTTTTTCTTCCACTATCTACTCTATTATTACAAATGGACAATTTTTTAAAAGGAGGTGAGGCCCTCCACTTTTTGGAGGTGGATTTTTCCACTATCTGCATTATTTGCCTTCTGTCGTAAGCACTTATATCATTTCTGGATAGGTTCAAATTCTCCTTGTGATTCTGGATTGCATAATTCACAAATGTGATCTTCTGCGAATTCCTTCTGTAGCCTGATGCAAATTTTTTTCTTAATTATTTCTGGAATCTCAAATTGTATTTTTATGAGTGTATCAAGATATTTGTTGAGTAACTTGATGCCTAGCTCTGCTGGATCTCGTGCTTGCATGCTCCAAATGATAATGGACTTAGCAGCATAATTAATCCGTCCCTTTATCCTAATGGCTTTATTTAGAATTATGACATAATTGTTTAGGAACTGAATTAGTTCATCCTCATGTTGTGTTTGTCCAATGTCTGGGTAGTTACCATTGCTTATTCCAATTTGGCAAAACTGGATTGCTGGTTGTATTACTTCCTGCGACTTCTCTCCCTCTCCAAAAATTGGAGTTGTTGCAAATATCTTCAAAAATCCTTCTTTTTTCCCAAGCACATGGTTACAGTATTGTGAAACTGCCTTCTTGATGTTGATCGAGAAGTATTGGAACATATTTGTATCTCTAAAATAAATACAACTTAGTAATCTTGATTGGAACATCATGTATACCTTCATCGAATCTGCTTCTGGTAGAGCTATTACTTTTGGTCCAAAATATAGACCGTCAGTTGGATAAATGCTTGTCTGCTTATCTTCTTCTGTGTAATTAACCACAAATTTAAATTCATGGTAAAAAATATTTTTAGTTAGCTTGGTCATCTCTTCTTTTTGTTGTTTAGACTGTATGCTTCCAATTGTGAGTGGTCTGATATTTGGAACCTTGCCTAATATAGGCATTTGCTTCTGTGCTGTTGTAGCCGGTGATTGTGCCTTTCCTGCATAGCTTGCCTTGAACTGTGCTAGTGCTTCTTTTGCTTCGAACAGGCTAGAGAATTTTTTATGTATAACATTCTGTCTTGTTATGAACATAGTTGCTTGACTCCATTGGGAAAATATCCCTTGATTAGGACCTGTAAATATTACATAATGGGTTTTTGTTCTTTCTTTCTCATCAAAATGAGGTTTTTCTTTTTCTTCCCCATTTATTTCTTTTTCTTTTGATGTTTCAGCCTTTTCATTTTTCTTTTCTTCTTTGCCTTTTTCTGGAAAAAGTATGGCTTTTATCTGGCTGATTTCTTTTTCTTTTTTCTTTATTTGCTCAAAGAGTTCTTGTACATGCTTTTCCAGCATTCTTAGACTATCTTCTAAGACTGGTTTGAGTGCTTTCATTCCCGTGTTAATGTATCTGCTAAGTAGTTTTCTTTTCCTAAGATATATAAAGATATATAATCAAACTGTTGTGCTTTTAAACGCCATCTTAAAAGTCTGCCTTTGTTGTAAGCTTCTTTTATTCGATATTTTGTAAAATCTTTTGTATACAAACTATCCGTTTGAAAAATGAATTTGACTGGTTGTAAGTCAAGTTTAAATTTTTCCAAAGCATTTATGAAAGCTAATGTTTCTTTTTCATGTGTTGTATAATTGCGTTCTGCTTGCTTAAACGTTCCTGATATCCATTTGGATAACAATAATTGCTTTCTATTGGTTTTACCCAATACTAATTGCATAGAATCATTATATTCACTATTTTCATCCAAACTATCTTTAGTTATCTTTCGTATAAAGGATTTAACTTCGGATGGTTTGTTGTTTGTAATAAACTTATTAAACTCTTAATATGCATCTGTATTGCTTGAAGGACTGCTCCACAAGTATCCTGACTTGCATCAGCATTTGAAATAAGTAAATCACTAGGCTTTGGTAGGTAAACCCGTGGTAATTGAGTACATAGTCTTTTAAAGGACTGTACTGCTCTAGTTGCATTGTCTGTTCATTTCTATGGTATTTTTTCTAAAATCATTTTCTGTAGTAATTCTCTTTCTTTTGCAATACTTTTTATAAAATCCTTTTCTCCAATATATGTTAAACATCCAAGAAATGTTTGAATTTGATATCTATTTTGAAGCTGAAATTGAAATTGATGTATTTTTTCAAGTAGATGTTTGTGAGGTTCGATGTAACATCCTTCGACTATTTTCATTACAAAAAATTCTGTTTCGGTTTTGCAAATTCTTGCCTTTTCTCTACTTAAAATAATTCCTTTATTACCTAACTGTATCAAAACATTCGCAAGTTCTTTTAAATGATCTTCCTTTGATCCTTGAGTAAAAATAATTATATCATCGATATAGGCAAGACTTATTGATTCTAATCCCTTAAGATTATTATCCATAAACCGTTGATATATGCTAGGTGCTTGTTTAAGTCCAAATGACATTACATTATATTCCTAGTGGTTTTGAGGTGGACAACTAAATGCTGTTAAGGGTTTGGTTTCCTTATGTAACCTTAGCTGCTAATATCCTGATTTAGCATCTAATGTACTATACCATTTTGCCTTTTTAATTCGACTATAAATATAATCTTGTCTTGGTAACTTGTATGCATCTCCTTTAGTGACTTTATTCATTTCTTTGTAATTTATAACCATTTGTGTTTTTCTCTTTTTAACTCATTATGATTTTCTACATAGAATGCGGGTGCACTATGTGGACTTGTATTAGGTTGTATAATACCATTTTCTAGCATCTTAGTAGTTTTCTTCATGAAATTCCTTAACATCTCTTTCTGCATATGGTATCCTATTTGGCACATTGACTTCTTTGCTAGGATCTATAAGTTCTATTTTTACTATCATATTGTTCGTGTTTTTATTTGGATATAGTGAATTTTGACTACGTATATTTTCTAATAGTTGATTAACATGTTCTTTTAAAGTTATTCTTATTGCTTTATAAATTTAAAATGAAACTTTTCTCAATATCTCCCCCTTTATGAAAGAAGACGTATTATATATTTTTGTAGTAATTATTTTACTAGATTGTGTATTGAGTTGTGGACATCTAAGACTTATACTATTTAATATTTGAATAAATGGACTGTATAACTTAAGGAAGTTATTTCCAATTATTAGTGGTAAACCTGTATTGTATTTTGTTTATAAAGACTTGGTAAAGGAAATCTTTTTTCTTCTATTAATAATACTAAGCCTGTTGCTCTATAATCAATCCTTATTGTTTTGTTATTTGCAAACCTTACTATAATTGGTTTATCTAATTTTTTCCAATATTTACTGGGTAATATAGATTCTTTTGCTAGACATATTGTTGCTCCTGTGTCTATATATGCTAGTAGAAATTTGTTAAATAATTTAACTTTTATAAATGAACTGTTTTGACTCATATTTTGATTCAGATGTTTTTAGATCACTATCTATTTCTGATTCTAAATCATATATATCAAAGTCTAATAATTCGCCTTCTTCATATTCTTCTTCTATAGGTTCATATCCTAAAGAAAATATCATTTTTAACTTCTTTTCTTTTTCTGGTATGTTTTTAGGGCATTCATTTGCATAATGTCCTATTTCTTGACATTTCCAACATCTACAATTCTTTTTTCCTTTAGGACAATATTTAGGTTTTCCTAAGTATTTTTCTTGTTTTCTAAACTTTCCTTTATATTTTGGTTTCCATGGTTTTCTAAATATCTTATATCGTCTTGGTCTATATCGTTTATTAAACTTATTGTATTTATAATATATTTTCTTTTTATATGGGTTATAACAACCAAATTCTTGAGGTACACTTTCTAATTGTTTACAACATCTTGGATTGATATTAGTCATTTCGTGGTGTTCTAATTTTCTTATACAAAGTTCATCTCTATATTCTTTTGCATATTTTTCTAAAATTCCTAGAGTTTTTTCTTCTTTTGTTTCACTAATTTTTTTCTGAATATATTTATTCATTTCATATTTAAGTTTACTTTCTACTATTCATATTACTCCCGATCGATCCTTAACTTAATAAAAGTTTTCTCTTACTTGACAGAAAAAGTTTTCTATGTAGCATACATTGCATAGCTTCATATTTATTAGAAATCTAACTATCTTATCTTTTTGTGTTTCTTTTGATTCTTTTCCTGTAATTCCTAAAAATTCTTTTAATAAATCTTTTGCTAATTCCTTTAAGGCTAATATTTTATATTCTGCTCCTGTTTCTGAACCACTGGCTTCAAGATCTAATAAAATTTGCGTATTTTCTAGATAATCAAATTATACTTCAGATGTTTTGTATCTTATGTAATTAGCAAAATCGGTTAATGTCATTCCATTTATCATCGAGTCATTAGTTTGAACTAATAATTTTAATTGATTAGTCCAAGTTACTATTAAATCTTCTGCATTGGTTGCACAATCTATATTTAATATTCCATTAGATAAATTTCTTTCTTTTTCTAAATATGCTGGTGGTATATTTTTCTTTATTTTGTCTTGATGATATCTGTAATCATTTCTATATATAAAATCTCTAAAATTGCTTTCTACGTAATTGTTCTGTGAAGTAGATGCCTCATTATGTTTTGTTCTTGGTCGTTTTGGTGATAACGGTGGTGTTGTATGAGGTTTTTGATCAGTCATATTAAATGTTGGTTCATCTTCATCTTCGCTATCTATTCCATAGATTATTCCTTGTTTATCCTCGTCATCTATTTTTGCCATTCTAGTTTCTTCAATATTGCATTTTTCTAATAATTGTGTTAATATATCTATATCATCCATTAGAGCTTGTTGGAGGTTCTATTTGAATTGGTTTAAACAATTTTTTCTGTGTTTTTTTCTTTTTGGACTAATTCTCGTAATTCTTTTGCTGATCTTTTTATTTCTTCTAATCTTTCTAATGTTTCTAATTGAGTTTTCTTTAATATTTCTATAAGTGTTCCTATTTGTTCTGAGACTCTTAGTGGTTCACTCATAAATTATTTTTACTTACTTTTATAATTTTTTCTAAGTGTTTTTCTTTTGGTTTTGCCTATAGTAAAATAGGGTGTGTTTATAGCAATTAAATGGTTGACATTTGGCCACATGAGTTGACCTTTACATGTCTGGTTCCTTAATAGAAACCCACAACTGGTTTCTTAGAAAAACCATATAGTGGTATCCAATAATAAAAAAGAAACAACTCATGAAACGTAGCATTTCCCTCAATTTACAAAGGGAACTGATTAGTGTAGAATTTTCTTCGAAATTATGTTGAAATATTAATATATAAAAGAAGTTTGAAGAGCTAACAAGAACACAATATATTAATTCTAGCATTGGTACACGAGCATTTATATTTTGAGTTACTAAAAATCCAAAGATATAAAGAAAGTATAAAATCATTCCATAATGAGTTGTACTAAATTGTGATGTATGTTGTGATCCTGCAGTAAATCAAAAAATCAAGTCTTGATTCTTAATACCGTGAAAGTCGGCGTTTCTATTTCACTTGTCACCTCTTGGAATATTTTCTTAATTTATTTATTAGACATCCGAAATATTGATTGCACTGCATTCATTTCTTATTTGCAGGCATGGTCTTCTTTTTGAGGATATTGGAGGTGAATTCAATATATCTCTTGCTGCTAATGCCAAATCTGTGAGAGAATTTGACGAGGGGCTAACACGAGGTCTGTATATATTGTTACGACTAATGAAAATCTTAGTACACCACTGATTGCTAATATTATTGCCACTTTTAGTTTCATTTGGATTTCAATCTGTGGATGAATACTACTCAAAGTCAAGCAGTTCAGATTTTGTTAAGAATGTCACCATTCCTCTGCTTTGCATTCAGGCAAGTATAGTTTATGATTACAATTTTCTCGGAAATAGTGTAGTTTACTCTACAAACAATTCCAGGCATGATCCACGTGATAAAAGGCATATCTGAGGAAAGTTTTAATAAGTTATAAGAGTAATAAAATAAACTTTGATAGGATATAGTTTGATGGTTGCTTAGATGCTTCTTTACTTTTGTTTATAATAATCTTCAGGCTGAAAATGATCCGATTGCACCTTCTCGGGGAATTCCTCGTAAAGACATACAGGTTTGTGAATCTTTCTCTTCTTTTCCTGTGTATGCTATTTCACTTTTTAGAAATTATATCAACTTTGAATTAATTTGAAGCTTTGTTTTGTTAGAAAAATTGCAACTGTATGTTGATAGTTACACCGAAAGGTGGTCATTTGGGTTGGGTGGCGGGGGTTGACGCCCCATTTGGAGCTCCCTGGACGGATCCTATAGTTATGGATTTCCTGCAACACTTGGAGGAGCGCCTTCCTTAGATTTTAAATTGTTTTACTTCAAATTATTAAATGGAATATTCGAAGTGAAGCCATAATGAGTGAATCATTCTTTCCCAAATCCTCCATTCATGTTTTGTAACATTGTAACTAGTATCATATTGTTAGAAATAGGGTATTAAAAAGTACATGGGAATCCTACGAACTGATATGTATTTTTTAGTTCTTACAAATAATCTAAAAATAGAAAATTACAATCGAACTGAAAAATAAATTACAACTGAAAAAATAAATTAAAACATAAAGAACAAAACGAAAGATTTTAGCCGAGGCGAGTAAAACTCTTTCCGCAAGAAGAATACGTCCCGTGTGTTGCTAACGGTACAAGCGTAACTTCTTCAAAGATACAACGGCAAACGTCTCTAAATTTGTAGCACACCAGATTTACGAGCTCCGGCGAACTTGAACGGAGTCGAGAATTGAACACTTAAAAATATGATTAAAAATGTCACTCTTTTGTTAATTCGATAACAAATAGATATTTCTATATTTTTCTCTGATATTTTTTATCACTCCAAAATTATTTCTATATCTCTATTTTTCTTTCTCTCTCTCTTTCTTCCCTTTCTTCTTTTGTGTTTTTCTCCCGTCCAAACTCCCCCTATTTATAGGGAATTGAGCATATGGAGGACGTCTGAAATTAGGCCAATTGGCCAATAATTTATGGTTTATTTTTTTTCTATTTAGAAGAAGTGGGGCGGTGGATCTAGGTTCTGTAAACCATTTTTTTTTTTATTATTAATTAGAGAAAGTGGGGTGGTGGATCCGCCCCTAATTTACACTTTCACACACAATCCCCCACAAAAGTGTAAATTAAATATTCACTAGTGTGCTCAATCCTCACAAAACTCTATTGCCTCAGAGAAGGTAGCTTTTGGCTTTGAACCTTTCATAGTAAACATCATCGGATGCACTGGCGGCCTAGTGGACATAATGCCTTGAACTATTCCTCCATAGTGTACATCGAGACAATGACATTCACACAATAGAGTCTTAACTCCATTCCGTTCTATCGTTGTGTCCGTTTTCGCCATGGACATCACTTTGGATTCGTAAGTGTTTACATTTGAAGCGGCCCCACACTTCACGCTGATATAGGTGACCTCCCTATCAAGAGTATTTTGTATTACTCCACCTTTACAAGGTTAGGGATTCATTAAAAGTCCACTTGACTTACCCTCACCACAACCAACAGGTCATCTTGCACTTGTAGTGCTCTAGGGAATAGCTTTAGACATTCATATTTTTCAAGTGCTCAACTGAATTTTCATAGCTTAGTTTTCCCTTTGAACCATGTTCGTGGGATCTCCACTTAGCATGGTAGGGTTACCACTATGATCATTCTTTACATTGTGGATTTTTAAGCCCATTCCCTCTAGCAAAACTCCGAATTGATCTCTATTCAATCCTTTCGTCAAAGGATCAACCAAATTTTCCTTAGACTTCACATAGTCAATGGAAATAACACCATTTGTGATCAATTGACGTACGGTATTATGTCTACGACGAATATGTCTAGACTTACCGTTATCACTGTTCTAAAAATCGGCCTAGGCGGCGCCTAGGCGCTAGGCGGTGCCCGGGCGCCTCCGATTTGTACAAATCGGCAGAAAAAATCGGCCAGGCGGCTAGGCGGCGCCTAGGCGCTCCTAGGCGAGCTTGGCGGGCTCGGCGGCCAGGCGGTTAGGCGGCGTCTAGGCGGGCGTAGGCGGACCTAGGCGCTCCTATGCGGGCTCGGCGGCAATTTTTTAGTTTTTTTTTATATTTTTTTATTTTTTAAATATTAATTACATTATTTTGTCCTCATGTTTTCTTTAATATATATTAATACTATTATTTGGACTTTGGTGTGTGAATTTATTATAAGTTGAGATAGTTTTATTTTGTAGGTAGTTAAAATAAATAAAAAATAAGGTATTTAATATTGATTTCTGGGCCCCGACTAGGCGCCGCCTAAGCCCCGACTAGGCGCTCGTCGAGCGCCTAGCGGGCGCCTAGCGACTTTAGAACACTGACCGTTATACAAATTGCTTCGCGCCCTACCTATAGCAGCTTGACTATCACAGTGAATCATCACAGGCGACAAAGTCTTATCCCAACATGGAATATCGGATAAATAATTTCTAAGCCACTCGGCTTCTTCACCAGCTTTATCTAAAGCGATGAACTCCGATTCCATCGTTGACCGAGCTATGCACGTTTGTTTTGTGGATTTCCACGAAACTGCACCTCCTCAATACAGAAAACATATCCGCTAGTGGAGCGAGAATCTCTTGAATCTGATATCCAGCTTGCATCACAGTACCCTTCAAGTACTGCTGGGTATCTCGAGTATTTTAGCCCGTATTCACGGGTGTTCCTCAAGTACTTAAGTACCCTTCTCAAAGCATTCCAGTGTTCATGACTGGGATTGCTCGTAAATCTGCTCAACTTATTCACCGGATAGGCCAAGTCTGGTCGTGTACAATTCGTCAAGTACATCAGACTCTCTATTATCCGTGAATATTTCAACTGAGCCACTGGTTGACTTTTATTAGCTACCAGATATATACTAAGATCAATGGTGTCTTACACCTAGACTGTGCACCGTCATAGGTATCAAATTTCTTAACCACTTTCTCTACATAATAAGATTGTGACAAGACAATTTCATCTTGGGTTTTGATAATCCTTATTCCAAGAATAACATCAGCCAAACCCATATCTTTCATGTCGAAATTTCTTTTCAACATTCTTTTCGTATCCATGATCACTTCATGGCTACTTCCCATGATCAACATATCATCTACATATAGACATACAATCACAAATGTATTTGATGTATTCTTGACATACACACATTTGTCACATTCGTTGATCTTGAAACCATTTGACAACATCACGTCATCAAATTTCAAATGCCATTGTTTCTGAGCTTGTTTCAGTCCGTACAAAGATTTGATCAATCTACACACTTTTCTTTCTTGTCCAGGTGCAACAAACCCTTTAGGTTGTTCCATGTATATTTTTTCTTCCAATTCACCATTCAAAAATACCGTCTTAACATCCATTTGGTGAATCTCAAGATTGTGCAGCGCAGCAATCGAGAGAAGCACCCTTATCGACGCTAAACGCGTAATTGGTAAATAGTTATCAAAGAAATCATACCCTTCCTTTTGTTTAAAGCCTTTGACTACCAGTCGTGCTTTAAACTTATCAATCGATCCATCAACTTTATATTTCTTCTTTAGGATCCACTTGCATCCTAAAGGTTTACAACCATAAGGGAGATCAACCAACTCCCAAGTATGATTTTGCATAATGGATTCGATTTCACTATTTACAGCTTCTTCCCCGAGTGGTCCATCTGGGCTGGAAAGAGCTTCCTTAAGGGAACTCGGTTCATCGTCCAACATGTACGTAATAAAATCAGGTCCAAACGTTTTCGTCGTTTTTAACCTTTCACTACGTCTCGGTTCTTCATCAGTACCCTCTGGTACAGAACCACTAGCAGTTTCATACGTTCGTTTATTAGAATTTGATTCTGCTCTTTCCTTTAGAGGAAAAATATTCTCAAAGAATATAACATTCCTCGACTCTATCGTGGTACCAATAGATACTTCTGGATTTTCTGATTTATGAACCAGAAATCTATATGCTGTACTATTGTACGCATATCCAATAAATACACAATCGACCGTTTTTGGTCCGACTCTCATTTGTTTTGGTTCAGGTACTGAAACCTTAGCCAAACACCCCCACACTTTCAGGTATTTATAAGATGGCTTACGATTTTTCCACATTTCGTAAGGAGTCTCATTTTTCCCTTTAGGTGGTATTTTATTCAGGATATGATTTCTTGTTAAAATAGCTTTCTCCCACATGTTCTGTGGTAATTCTGAATTTATCAACATGCCATTCATCATTTCTTTTAAAGTACGGTTCTTGCGTTCAGCAACACCGTTCGACTGTGGAGAATAAGGGGCCGTCGTTTGATGAATTATGCCATATTCAGAACATATTTGTTCAAAAGGAGATACATACTCCCCACCCCTATCACTTCATTATTTTAATCCTTTTGCCGAGTTGATTTTCAACTTCGGTCTTATAGATTTTAAATGCTTCCACAGCCTCGTCTTTGCTTCTTAATAAATATAAGTAGCAAAACCTTGTGCAATCATCGATAAAAGTAATAAAATACTTTTACCAATTCTTGTTTGCACACTTTTCATATCACATACATCAGTATGGATTAAGCCTAATGGTTCAGTATTCCTTTCCACTGAGTGAAAAGGCAACTTAACCATTTTTGCTTCAATACAAATCTCACATTTCTTATGTGATTCAATTTTAGAATTAAGAATTAATTCTAAATTCATCAACTGTTTAATTGCATTTTGATTTACATGTCCCAATCTAATATGCCATAAATCAGAGTACTCGACGGTATAAACAGAAATAGGTTTTTCATTATCATTTAAAACGGTTACACAGCTCACGGCCATTAAATTCATTTTGAACATACCCTTGTCGAGATAGCCACGACCAAGGAAAGTTCCAAACTTGTTAAGAACAAATTTCTTAGCATCAAATACTAGCCTAAATCCATGCTCAACAAGAAGAGATCCGGAGACCAAATTCTTGCGGATGTCTGGGACATGAAGAACATCCTTAAGCTTCAACTCCTTTCCAGAAGTCAGCTTCAGCACTACAGTGCCCATTCCAGCCACATCAGCCGTGGCTGAGTTAGCCATGTAAAGTTTCCGACTCTTAGCAGGAGTGTATTCAGAGAACACCTCCTTATCGGAACACACATGACGAGTGGCACCAGTATCGATGTACCACTCCCTTGGGTTATCCACCATATTGGCTTCAAACACCACTGTCGACATATCAAAGTCGGTCAATTCACCCGGCACAGGGCCGTGTTCAGCCACAAGGGCACTAGGTTGCCCTTTCTTTGGCCCAACCTTCTTTGGCCTCTTGCAGTCTTTGGTATATGGTTTGCCTTTCCACAGTTGTAGTAGGTTCCAGTAAACTTCAAAACCTTGGCAGGCTGCTTCCCTTTATCAAGGGACTTCCTCTTGCTCGAGTGGCCTTGCTCCAGCAAGTTAGCACGAGCCTCTATCATCGGAGTCTTCGCCTATGAATTATGGTTGTCCTCCTCAATACGAA